CTAAATTCAGCACCCGAAACTTTATCAGCTTGGTATCAGGTGACACAAGCCAGTCGAAACATGTAAAACACGCAGAAAGAAAAACTTTCATAACAACACATAATATAATTAGGCACAAACACTTTCTTTCCTTTAAGTAGCGTTGCAAAGCATGCCGGGTAAGAACTAGTTCAAAATAAGAAACAAACTTCTTGAAGCTATGTAAATTCTATAATTCTTTTAAGAAATGAAAAACGATTTTTCGGATGACAATTCTCATTAAAAAATAAAACACGAATTCTCTAAAATTGTACGTGCAGAATTAAAAAGCAAAGGAATTCCTTTAAAGTTAACCTTTCATGTTCTAGGAGGAATTTCATCATTTTAAATATTTTTTAAATGTCATGAACTTTGAAACAGAGATTTAGTTGTCATAAAAACTTTGAGTGCTAAAAATAGGCTCTGTATAATGGCAAATATTTAATCTTCAAATACCGTTTTAGAAAGTTTATTAAAGCAAAACTTAAATAATTAGTAGTCATTGTTTCTAGTAGTCATTGAAGTGAACGTACGTTTGCTTTTAAATAAGTATCGCATCAGTATGCTTGGACGTCTTTGGGGAAAAAAGAAAGATAAATAATGGATAACTACTTTAAAAGTTTTAAATAATTATGAAAACGAATACAAAAGGGACATTATATCATTTCAATTTAAAGTCTTACAGAAAATAATCAAATTAATTTAATGTAATATCTTCAAATATTCCATTATTTGTAGAACGTAGTCACGAGCAAATACATTTTCCCAGTGAGTTTTAAATCCTTTTAATTCATTATATGTATATTTACTCATATTTGTGTCCAGTTCTTTGTTGTAACATTCTTTAATGAAAATGAAATTTGAGACTTAAGTCCTTCTTTGTACATTTAGAAGTTCATATTCTTCCTATGTAGCTCTTCAAATCAGTATTATATAAGCCAAAATATAAATATTTCCGATATTAAATATTAACTGAAAATTCATCCGCTAATATAAGTCACATATGCCATATATTAGCGGTGTACAACCAATTTAATTTAGTTGTCCACCTCCAGAACAGTCGACAACCAGTTTAATTTGCTTGCTCCGACCACACAATACCTTATATTTATCGCTTGCTTGAGAAAAACGTCTTTGAATAATAAACACCAGTTATTTCAACATTCAAGTAGCAGTTATTTCTTCAGTTTCGTAGGCAAAATGCTATTAAAACCAAATGCAGAATTATACAGGCAAGAAATTCAAAATTCTATTTTAGTACATGTTTTAATCAGGTAACGAGCTCTAGAAAAGAGCGTCACTAGAGGTATGCGATCCACATACCTCTAACTACATACAATTTCTTATACCAGCAATTTCTCTGCCAGCTGTTCTAAGTCTACGTTTACCTCAAATAAGCATAAATTCAAGAGTAAAATAGATAAACTGCGACATATGGATGAATAGGCAGCTTTCATTTTTATTTTACTTCTGGATACTGTAATTATTTTTTAATTTTGTCAAATAATTATTATTTAGCAATTATCAAAATATACATCTATTTTATAAATTTCAGCAATCGAATTTTTTAATAAAAAGAGTTTGCGGTCATCGCTTGAATACACAGAAGGATTTTGATGAATTGACATACATCGGGTTTCTGTTAATTTTCATACACTTCATACCTCCAAAGCAGATCCACAACTATCTACAAGAAATGAAATTTACAGTCAAGTTCAGTATAAAATTATTATTTTTTATTTCAGTGTTAAAGATTTTTCTAACCCGAAAAGCTTCATACTAGTATTGCTTCGTAATCTAAGACACGCATATTGTCGCATTTAATATCGCAATTTTAAAGAGCAAGTTTGAGTTGCAGCATATTTTCAATTAGTGTTTAGCTCACTAGTAACCAATTTAAAAATGGATTAAAATTAACACTTCGAAAACCACAATTAGTGATACAAAAAATTCGACGCGTAATGGCAGTAATATGATGTCAACCATTGATAAAACTACACTGGCAAACAAAATTAAGAGGCCGAATACTTTTCCCAAATAACTCTAGAAATACTGGATAGAAATAAAAGAAATTGCGTATGAGTATAGTTTATTGAATGACAGTATTGTGTACAAAACAATGATGAAAATGACATTCATTAGCATGAGTTATGGCAAAAGAGTCCAATGCGGTTCAAATTTGAGGTTGTAAGATGGTAGTGAAAATGTCTAGTATCGTATTTGTTCGCCTCTGACAGATAGAGGCAGCATGCACAATGAGTAGCCATGCTGTTAACAAGAGAGTTCAGGAGTGCCTGTAGAAGTCGCCCCCACTCCTACACCAGAACAGTTTTTAATCTTTAAATGGTTTTGGGTGAAGTTGGGCTATTGCAATAGCCCTCCCAAGAGCATCCCAAGCATGTTCAGTAGGATTAAAGTCAGGATATTTACTAGCCAATCTATTCAATGAATATCCTTCTTTCCAGAGAGTCATCAACCAGACTGGCCCTATGTGGTAGTGCATTTCGTGTGTAAAAATGAACTCAGGGCCAATAACAACCCTGAAAGTCACGCATAGCTCTCTAGGATCTCCTGTCTGTACTCTGCGCTTTCACGAAACTAGTGTCAAACACATGGAGCGGTGTGCGGGTATCTTGCATGATCCCTGTCCAAACCATCATTCCTCCATCACCAATATTGGTTCCTTTCTATAATATTGCTCCGGTAGTATAGGGTCCCAAGTTCCTTCCATATCAATAATCGCCGAGAATCAGGTTGTAGACTGAATCTGGACTCATCCGTGAAAAGAACAATAACCCATTGAAGTTATGTCCAGTGTTCGTGTTGTATGCACCATGATAACCGTTCTATTTTGTGGGAGAGAGTGAGTGGGGTGCAAATAGCATGATTTCTGGCATACAGTCCTGTCTCATGGAGCCTTCTGGCAGGTGACAGGTGACAGCAGGGCCGGACACCCGGACGGCTTTCAAAGACTAATCAGATATAGCATAACATGTTTACAACATAAAATATCTAGCGTTGCATTACCTACACGACAGATGGACATTGCATGGCGACATAATCAATTAGGTTGACGCAATATGAGCTTGGGACTACCCTGCCTCAAGCCTACTTACAATTTTCCATCTCATACCTTCGTCTAAGCCATGATATGTACTCATTTCACATAAAAACAGCAAACACTAACGAGATTATTCACGAAAGACAATAAAAATCACTTCTATATTACACAGCAAAATGAGCTGAGCAGCCGGACGTGGAAGTTTAGACCTACTGCTGGCGTAGCGACATCCACAGGGATATCTTAAATCATCTGTAAGACACCAGCACTATAGTTGCACTACATAGCAACCAACTGTCCAGGTTTTGTGCGGTATTTTTGGAGAAATGTGGGAAAAGGTTTTCCATCTCTTAATTTTATCCACCAGTGTATTAGTTATTTCAAGGCAGGTCTCCAATAATCACGCAAAATACTTTAGTGTTATGTCAAATAAATAACTGAAATTCAGCAAATATGTACCACGTACTCATACAAGATACATGTATCTTTCTTGAGTTTATAAATAGCAAATAAACTGCAGCTCAGTTATCAATGTGAAGATAAAGAATCATCTGTAGCCACTTATCCTTTGGTCTGGAATCTCGCAGCAAAGACAAAAAGGACATTGATGGCAAGTCTAGCAAAACGAAGTCCTTAAAGCTTTGTTTTTCCTGAGGAATTTCCACATGTTTATAAATTCGAATTCCAGTCGTATTGTCAATTATACTTCTACAAGTATTTCTCTAGGAATGGAGCAATTAAAATTCCAAATTAATAAAGGACATTGCTTCTGTAATCCATTGTTTGAACAGTACTATAAAAGGCTGAAGCCATCGCGCAATTTTGCCATCACGCCAGTGTCTCAAGCCTGATATTGGGTTCCCGAAGAAATGCATTTTGTCTCTCATTTTTAATCTCTCATTAACAGACCTCAGAGAATTATGCAAGATTATCCAACTCATGATGAATGAGAGTCAGAGTCAAATGAAACATTAATTTGGGCATTAAGGGAGCAATTCGATTTAATACGATTTTATAAGGTATAAAAGGACTTCGGAATATTAAGTACACTAGATTGGGTAGAAAGGAAATATTTTGATTTAATATGATTTTATAAACTATACTTAGGACAAATTAGATTGCAATTATTTCGATAAGATCAACAAATAAAGCTAAGACAGGAAATTTTTAAGGTACTTTCTCCCTCCTTCCAACATGCCTTCGTGGTGTAAAGGTAGCACTTTCAACGCCTATTTGAGAGTTCCAGGTTCGAGTCCCGGTGAAGGCATTGCACATTTTCCACACCTAAAAAAAATCCTAATGATTCTACGATGGCGCCTGAACCCAAAGGTGCTTGAATTTGTCACTAGCAGGATTTGGCGACTGGGTCCCCTAATCCCCATTCTCCTTTTAAAAGGGAAAGTATGTAAGGCATTTTCTCCCTAATTCCAGCATACCTTCGTGGTGGAAAGCTTGGAACGGTAGCACGGTCGGCGCGTATTCGAGAGGTCCAGGTGCAAGTCCCGGAGAGGGTATTGCTCATGTTTCATGTCTCCTGCTTCAAAACAACCTCATGACTCTCCACAGTATCAGGTTAAAAAAGAACTTTAAAAGGATAATAATACTTTTAATATTGGTATCCTGGTTGAAAAAAGTGGATGTGACAATCGTTAGCCAGAGACTGCTTGAAAGTTTCGCCTTCGTTATCTAGGAACATGAAGGTTATATTAAGACTTGATAGATGTATATAATTAGATGCATATATTAAATTTGGTGAGTAAAAGGGTTTTATAATCATGTCTCATGATACTATTTATTCATGTATAATAGTATTATGGCTGAAATGGAGATTTCACTGTTACACGAATCATAAGATTTATTTTTATATACTAAAATATAATAAAATGTGGAAATTCTTACTGTAGATCTCATAATGCAAAGAACAAAATTCTGCCTTTTTAGGTTGCAGTCGATACCGGGCAAACAAAAAGAAGACTGCTGTTCTTCATTGCTACATGGGTTCTTCTGTCTCCAGCTGGTAGGTTAGGTATTTTCTATTTACTTTCCCTGTAATTTTTGCATAACAATAATTAATCCTAATCCTAATTTATACTAATTTATTTCTAATATATCATCACTCAAATTTATTTTAAAAAGGCCTTTAAAAATTTCTTCTTAGATGATGAAACACAGATTAAAAATATGGAAACAAAATTTAGTAATAGAAGCAGAATTTAGATAATTATAACGAAAGGTTAAAATACTATGAAGAGAGTCTCATACGATCTTGAGTCTCCCAACAGTATTTGAACAAAACACTATCTGTTACGATGAAAGTGTTAATAGCAGAGAGGTAACTACCTTCTATAAAGTCGGAATAGCCAGCGAAGGTCCTGGACTGTCGAAAATTCCAGTCCTGTTCAAGTGGGTAGCCAAGTAGTCATGTCCGAGCGGTAGAGCAGAGGTTCTCAAACTTTTCTGGAACTCCAACTCCAACTCCTTTACAAGAAAAAGATTCAGTGCTCTGTCTTCCATAATAGTTAATTATGTGAAATATTATACTGTTGCTGCAGAACATCTTAAAATATTTTGTCTGTCTATCTATTTGTTAAGAATCCCAAAGCACAAATTCATTAAAATGACCATTAAATGAAGTAAAAATTGTTTATTAAAAATTTTAAAATAGAAACATAATCAATCTGTATATAAATAAAGAAGAATGTCTGTGTGTTTGTTCGGGATTAACACAGTCACTACTATAGCTATCGTCAACAAACTTTCTACAGCTCTTTTCTGGATCCTGGAAAAGGTCTACATGCACTTTTTTTCCAAAAACAGTAGCTAAAATTCACAGATATTAATTAACAACTCGGAAAAAAGGCTAATTTTTTCCCTCATTTTTCCGAGCGGGAACCACCTCGTAAGCTGGAGATGAAAATATGCTTTATTTCGAGTAGTGTTGCCACTGCTCGCTTTGAAATAGTAGAGTTTGTTAACAGAAAAATTTCAACGTTTTACAGTGAAAATGGCACTGCCAAACATTAAATACATTCATTACTCCCGACTCCAAAAATTCATGTGGAGCCTTTTCGACTGCATAAGACTTTAATCAGTCGAGATATTAATTAAAAATTCCAAAAACGCAAATTTTCTCACTCATTTTTCCGAGTGGTAATAGTCTCACGCGTTTCAGATTAAAAAGCTTTATTTCGAAAAGTGTTGCTACTGCTCGCTTTCAAATCGTAGAGTTTGTTAATAAAAAATGTTTAAGTTTTACCAAATCTATATATATAATGAAGAATGTCTGTTTGTGTACTTGTTTGTTTGTTCACGTTATTGATTTCCGATTAATCATGATCAAACTTTTTGCCACATTTAATCGACTAAAATTTAATGTAAGTGAAATATTGGATGGAACTTGAGCTTTTACGATCATTTGATTTAAAAAGACGAAAATCATTAAAAACTGCGTGCCATTGTTGCTGATATAATGAGACAGAAATAGCTTATTTTTCTATTGAAATTTTGTATGTGGGTTCCATATCGCATCAGAGTGAAAAATGTATGACTATGAATCGTGTTTAGTGCATCGTTAACAAAAGGATTACAAGCGGTATCGTTCTCTCTCTGTTGTTAGATGCATTACTCTCAATCTAACTTGGTACTTCTGCTTGTAAGAAGTAAAAAAAATGATGATATAGTTGAGGCTAGTGGATTTTTAACAGTTTGTTAATATAGGGCTTCGACATCATTAATATCAGTCTCAAACTGCCCCGTTCAGTGACGTGTAGTCTCTTTCTTTTCTTAGACAGTAGCTGCATTGAACCCAAGCTCAGGCAAATAAGATGAAGGAAAAGCAATTAAAACATTTCTGCCCTCTTGCTTTTAATCCAAGGTATAGGCTGGTATTGATTTTTCAAGCCAGAACTCTTGGTATCCATTTCTGAATTTTACTTTTGGTTTTTTATTAGTTGTGAGTTCAAAGAGTTCCTTTTTTGAAGATGATGATTCTGCTGTATCTATTTCTGCGAAAAGAACTAAAGCCCAACTCGGTATATTCATGTATAAAATATCTTGAAATCGCTTCGTAAAACGTGCAAATATTAGCAGTAAGTAAGTAAGCACATCTGTTTGTTTTGCTGAGACTGCTAAAAATGTGAGAAAGTCGCTGTATTCACCGCTAACTTAGATTAAATTTGAACAAACGTTTCTCCACTAAGTCAGCTGTGACTTTTCTTTCGTTTTTATCAGATGATTCAAACAAATACCTTATAAGGTATTTTTTTCCTCTTTCTGCATGCCTTCGTGGTGTAACGGTAGCTCCCTCGAAGCGTATTCGAGAGGTCCATGTTCGAGTCCCGGCGAGAACACTGCACATTTTTTCAGATTTTCTGCTTCGAAAACAACGTAATGTCTCTATAGTGGTGCCCACACTAAACAACGGTGATAGATGATGATTCCTCACATCAAAATTTGGCGATTGAGTCTCCTAATCCCCAGTCGTCCTTTAAAAGGGGGAGAATATAACTTATTTTCTCCCTGCTTTATGCATGCCTTCGTGGGGGTATTCGTCGCTTTATGCATGCCTTCGTGGTAGCGTACTCGGTGCGTATTCGAGAGATCCAGGTTCGAGTACCTGTGAGGGCTCTGCACATTTTCACATCTTTTGCTTCGAAAATAACCTAATGTCCCTGCACATTTTCACATCTTTTGCTTCGAAAATAACCTAATGTCACTGCACATTTTCACATCTTTTGCTTCGAAAATAACCTAATGTCCCTGCACATTTCCACATTCTTTTGCTTCGAAAATAACCTAATGTCACTGCACATTTTCACATCTTTTGCTTCGAAAATAACCTAATGTCACTGCACATTTTCACATCTTTTGCTTCGAAAATAACCTAATGTCACTGCACATTTTCACATCTTTTGCTTCGAAAATAACCTAATATCACTGCACATTTTCACATCTTTTGCTTCGAAAATAACCTAATGTCACTGTACATTTTCACATCTTTTGCTTCGAAAATAACCTAATGTCACTGCACATTTTCACATCTTTTGCTTCGAAAATAACCTAATGTCACTGCACATTTTCACATCTTTTGCTTTGAAAATAACCTAATATCACTGCACATTTTCACATCTTTTGCTTCGAAAATAACCTAATGTCACTGTACATTTTCACATCTTTTGCTTCGAAAATAACCTAATGCCACTGCACATGTTCACATCTTTTGCTTCGAAAATAACCTAATGTCACTGCACATTTTCACATCTTTTGCTTCGAAAATAACCTAATGTCACTGCACATTTTCACATCTTTTGCTTCGAAAATAACCTAATGTCTCTACAATTTTTGAAAGCCAACGAACTTCTGTGTGCAGAAACGAACGACTGTAATGTTCATCATTCACTTAATCAACTTAACATCATTCATGTTAAGTTGGATAAATAATCTATCATGCAATAAATTACTTCTAATCTTATTGACTGATCTAATAAAGTAATGAAGCGATGTAACGACGAAAACCACAATATTCAATTGGGTGCTGCTTATTTCAAATATGCTGTGAAAAACCTTATGACGCTAGTCACTGCTGGAGCACTATCAAACAAGATATTGCAAATAGGAATTTTTTTCTCAAGAAGAGACTTGTTCGCGGTATTAAATATCAATTAGGTACTCTTCTGTAATTGGGACCGGATTTCAGAAACGAATACATGTAAAGATGTATGTGTTCATGTATGCATGTACATATGTACGTACTTAGGTAATGTGTATTTACACGCACATATACGCACATACATACATGCATTTCCGAATGCGGTCTCAATAAGAGAATAGTACCATCAATTCTCCCTTTGTGTAGGTTTCCAAATTTTAGCAAATAATAACGCTTTACAATGTTTCCCTTCTTTTATGAATCGACCGTATGATGAGAGTAGTGGTTCAATGCATGGTAGAGTTAATTCATCAAGCTAAATAGGAAATTTGCAAGTCTTTATGTAATCACATAATCATATTTCAACGTCTTTAGCCATTTATCTATAATTCTTTGAACAGAAGTTCAAATTCAGAGAAAGCTTTCTGATGGTATTTAATGTTAGGTTATCATGATGATAATTAATGATTCTTGATGATGGTATCTAATTCTGATGATTTTTTATGTTATGAAGACGTTATCTAATTCTGATGATATTAATGTTATGATGTTGATACCTAATTCTGATGATGTTAATGTTATGATGATGATATCTAATGATTATTGATGATGATATCTAATTCTGATGATATCTAATGTTTCTGATGTTACCTAACATTTCTGATGGCATCTAATTTTTCTGATGATATCTAACGGACCTTAGGTTATTTTTACTTCTTTCACTGCGAGTAAGGTTAATTCCTTTCCGGTCAAATGTGGCTTCTCCACTTCTGCGATTAATAACGAAATGTTATGTAATCCTTGTAGTCCATCATCTTCTTGTTTAGCAGACAACGTAAAAATATTGGCGATATAAAAAGACAGCGCAAATGATATTTCTTCGACTGGTTGTAAACAATTGATAAATGCTGAATGATTCTAACAAATGAACTTGCCAATACGAAAACATTACGTTATGGATTAAATTTAACATTAGAATTGATTATTTATTTTTATTGTTCATTGTAACTTGAAGTTAATACGAGTATATATAATTTTTACCACAGGTTGCGCAGACAAGAAATGTGAAAAACCTTGGAGAACTTTTCGAAACGTATGCTACCTGTTTTCGGATACAAATAATCAGAAGTTTAAAGAAGCTCAGGCATTTTGTTACAAACAAGGAGGATTTTTAGCTAGTATCAGAAACAGTGCAGAACATGGTTTTATTATCAAGGTAAAGTAATTGTCTTTTATTGTATAAAATCTCTTTTACTGCTGTGTATGAGCTGTCGTTATGCTACCTTTTATGTATCTGAATAAAGTCATATCTATATCTTTTAATTTCGAACGCAAAATGTCTTTATGTTAAATGAAACATTGTTAAAAGTTATAAGAATGGAACTCTAAGAATGGAATCCATAAATTAAGGATAATTCACTCATGTCCATAAATTAAGGATAATTCGGAGTCACGCGGAAATCGAACTCTAAAATAAATATATCACCTGTAAAATCACTACACACGTCTTCAAGAGTCATATGCAAATTTCAGGAAGTAACCATATGACACCGATGTACGTCACAATGACGAGAGTGTAAGAGAGTGGTATATAAAGAATACAGACAAAGAAGTAAAATTGTTCGCAGGCGCTTTATAAGCATTTCAGTGCAATAACCGAATAGTTATGACACAAAGGACGTACTTGGATGATTTTTTACGTGGTAGAATTATCGGCCGTCTGGAATGTGGGCGTACCCAACTGGAAGTATCAGACAAACTTGGAATTGCCCAGAGTGTCATCTCCAGGCTTTGGCAACGATTCCAAGATGATGGTAATGTGAGTAAACGTTACAGCACTGTTCGCCCCAGAGTTATAACACCGAATGAGGGCCGGTATTTGGCAGTTACTGCCAAAAGAAACAGGCTGAGCACAGCTTCAGACCTGTCTCGTCAGCTCTCTTCAACCACTGGTACGGCAATTTCATAGCAGACCGTGCACAGACGCTTAGAGCAGATGGGTCTATATGCTCGTAGACCAGTCAGATGCGTTCCACTTACTGCAACTCACTGTCACCTGAGGTTAGCCTGGAGTAGAGAGCATGCATTGTGGACACCGCAACAGTGGGCTTGTGTGATGTTTTCTGACGAGTCCAGGTTTAGCTTTCAGTCTGATTCTCGCCGGACTTTCATATGGAGAGCTCCAGGTACCCGTTAACACCAAGAAAACATCATTGAATGACACCGTTACGGTGGTGCAGGAGTGCTCGTTTGGGGTGGAATTATTCTGGGTTCCGGAACTGACCTGCATGTTCAAATTGGAACGATGACAAGCCAAATCTATCGGGACGTCATTCTGGAACAACATGTACGTTTGTTTCGGGGCGCCATGGGCGCACAATTTGTGTTCATGGATGACAACGCCCGTCCTCACCCTGCAAACATCATAAGCAAATGCCTTCAATCAGAGGATATCACCCGTATGGACTGGCCAGCATTCTCACCGGACTTGAATCCAGTCGAGCACGTGTGGGACATGCTTGGCCGACGAGTTGCAGCCCGTCAACATCCTCCTACATGTCTACCGGAACTTCGAAGAGCATTGCTTTTTGAGTGATGTAATATCTCCCAAGATCAGATCGATAATTTGATACTCAGCATGCCTAGGCGTTGTACGGACTGTATTGCATCGTCTGGGAGACATACAATGTATTAACAATCATACCAACCATGTAATATTGGTTTTTTGTAAATAGTTTTTTTTTTTTTTTAATTTGCTCCAGGGAGAAAACATCGCTAATTTTTTTAATAGTATCAAACATATAGCATCTTTTTTTGCTCTTTACCTTTTGTTTAATAAATAAGCTTTACAAATAAGTCAAATTTGTTTTGCTTTTAACTCTTCCTTTGCCTGATTTTGCATTATCCTTAATTTATGGACATGAGTGTAAATCTCAACCACGTATGGATTGAAACTTTTGCTCATATATTTGTTGTTAATGATGTAATAAGTTCGAAAGCAAATGTTTTAATCGTATTATTCATAATAACTTCCCTGATAAAAAATAACATTGTTATTATTCATAATTAGTTATTATGGATAATAACTTCCTGATTCATAAATAAAAATTCTACGTATGAACCAATCAAAATGAAATTTCGGATACGGTGGGACCTCGAGTTACGAGTTTAATTCGTTCCAGCATTGAGCTCGTATAGCGAATTTCTAGTATCTAGAAACAAACTTTCCCATTGAAAATAATGGAAATCCAGATAATCCGTTCCTCACCTCCCAAAATATCATTGCCATCTCATATTCAATGACGTACCTGATGTTTTTCGGAGGAGGTCCAAGTACAGATTCTTAGCACAAATGATAACTTCCGACACCGAATCGCCTTTTAATTGCTTCTCGTTAACACACGCCAACAACAGCTTCTCAACAGCTTCTACGAGTGTTTGACGATCCTTGGATATAACGGTAACTCCTTTGGCCACATCAAGTGTCTTAATTTCTTCTTTCTTCTTCAGAATAGTGCAGATCGTCGATGTCGAACGCCTGTAAATCTTTGCTAATTCATCCCACTTATACCACGCTTATGTTTATCTATGATTTCTTTCTTAATTTCAACGACCATGGCTTCTTTCTTTTTCTTTGCAGCAATATCTGAGGCAGAAATCTTCTTGGGAAGCATCGTGAAATAATTATTTTCGCGTTAAATGTAAAAAACAATTAACTCACAAGCACACAAATACCTAGATCAAAGAACACTGAGTTATCTAACTAGGAGACTCCTCGAGTCGAGCCGGATCGGGAAACGCGCCACGCATACCAACAGCCTGGCTCGTTGTTCGTTACTCGAGTCAATGCTCGTATTTAGAGACAAATTTTCTTCTCATACTCTCCTCGTACCTCGAATTTCTCGTATATAGTGGTGCTCGTATCTCTAGGTTACACTGTATTTGGAGAATTTCAGACATTTCAGATATTCGTCATACGTGTACGCTCCAATGCCAGTTACGGTTTTCCAATGTGCTGGAAAACAAAAAGAACTGGCTATTGCCATTCAAAAATTTCGAAATGTTGTTACTGTAACCTTAACAACGAGAGCTCTATTTTTTAAATTATCACAATCTTGAGCGCCTAACTACAAATAACACTATCTGAAATTTCATTTTGATTGGTTGATCGGATAGGGCGTTAGGGATACATATATCGGGAAAGTTAATTTATGAACACCCTGTACATGAACTGATAAATAAATGTTAATTTTATTAAGCAGAGCGTCTTTTTTATATTTAACCTTTATATACTTTATTTTACTTATATGAAATTAGATAAATAACAACTGGTTATGTTCATAAACCTATTATGTTCATAAGATAACTAATGTATATTTGCAATGAAAAATTTATAAAAAATTCTCATTCTCAAATATTAATTTATATTACTGAATAAAGCATTATTTATTATCATTGAATATTATAAGTGTGGGAACACTTTTGGGAACCATTGTAAATATGCGCCATTAATATTTATTAAACTCTCAAGATAAAATCCAGAACACGACCTTTGTCCAAAAGCAAAGATGATAAAACTAAAAGTCAAGCACTAGTTAAAAATCGGAAACATTTTCTGTTGCTTCTTCTAAAGAATAATTTTTAAAATATTCTTAAGACTGTTTATTAAATTATTAGACATTTTCCATTCCAGTAAGCTACTACTGTAAAATCTTTTGCATTTGCATTGCATTATTATATTATATTATTTATAAAATGCTATTGTGTTTTAGAAAACTTTTTATCACAGTGAAATAATCCTGAAAAGTGTGAAATTATATTAATTGGATTGTTAAGTCATAACTTTGGATTATTTTATGCACAAATTATATTTGAAGTTGCACAAAATTAAATTTCAAATGCACAAATTGTATCAGAAATCAAAAATAGATTGAAATGTTAATGTGGTAGTAAATAAATAAGTAAAATTATACCAAATTTTCTTTTATCAGACTATTCAAGGAATGGGTTCTTCTTATCAGCGAGTCCGTTGGTTCATTGGCCTGTATCAGTACGATCCAAACGACAATAAAGCTTATCGGTGGCTAGATGGTAGCATATCGAATTTTCGGAATTGGATGAGCACTCAGCCCAACTCCATCTACGAGCGATGTGCTATGTTGGATGGAAGTAACGGTTTTAAATGGAGAGACGACGTTTGTACTAATCGAGCCCTTTTCATATGTAGAAAAGATCTAGATGAAAGTAGGACTTTTATTAATTTTCTCTTACAAGATAATTGTTTCATGTATACTTCATTTCTTCACTTTTTTTATAAATGATGAATTTGCAATATATTATTTCACACTACCGCAGAAATATTTAAATCTCATACAAACGTAAAGTATCATATGTACTTATTTATATATGAATAGCTTTTATTCGTACATCTTAAAAATATAAATATATTCTTACATGGAATAAATTCTAATATAAATAGTGTTTCTAAATGAATATCGGAGTTTAAATTCTTTGTATTATTTATTGAATAAAACTTAAAATCATAATTAATACATTAAATGAAAGAGCAACTCAAACAATTCTGTTTGTTGGTACAGTACAGGTTCTAAAGCCTACAGACCATGGTTTACCTGCCAATTTTGCACAGGAAATGTTGCTGCACGAAGATTTTCTGTATTATGTTGTTATTTCAGTGATGAATCGACCTTTCAACTAAGTGGACATGTGAACACTCATCTGAGGATCAGAAAATCCATACCAGATTGTAACAATTGAAATGAGATTACTCTAAATTGAATAATTTTTGTGCTATAACTTGGCGGAAAAGTTTATGGGTTTTTTTCTTTGGAGAAGCAACTGTAACTGGTTTTTCCTATCTTGTATCTTGATAACTATGGATATTTTCCCAATTGGTAGAAGACCCAATAGGTACCAATTTCCTCAATTGGTAGAAAACAATTACATCACAAACACTGATCAACGTTCGTTAAGAAGTGGGCCGACTTGATGTGTGTCGTGTGACGAAAGGTGCTCACATTGAATACTGTAAACTTGTAGGTATAACTGTCTGAGTTATTCTTTGATTTCATGTATTAATTATAATTTTAAGTTTTACGTATAATAGATACTACAAAGTGCTAAATCCTCGATATTCATTTAGAAACACCATGTATAACATTTAATATAAATATATTAAATTAATTCTTATATAAATATTTTTAATATTAAAAGTTTTATTAGGCTTTTAAAGATATTTACACTACTTATATCTATATAATTATTATTAGAAAATTGAATACATACAGCTGATAGTTTTACAAATTTCACTGTATGTTTAAGTGCTATAGGTGTTTGAATTGGATGATGTTCATTTCTTGGATTATGTTTAAAAATTCATATTTTAATTTATTTCGTAAGACTTGTGCATAATAAATTTATGCATAAGTCTTTATGCATAATAAAACTTTTATGCATAATAAAAGCTCGAATATGTAATATTTCATATGCATTAAAATAATTTTTTTCTACGTTTAAGCGTAAAGAGTAAAAAGAAAAGGTAGGTGGGGTATTAGGGGAAAATTACGTTTTCAAAATTCGAAACTTCAGTTTTTCGACTTATCTATGCGATGTTGTAATATCAGGTGTTCGCCGATAACATCGCGGGCGAAAACGTCGCCGAGAAAACAACGCAAGGCGAAAACGTCGTGCTACAAAACATTGTGGGAGAAGACATCGCAGTTCTAAAACATCGCGGTACAAAACATGGTCGTCGAAAATAAAGCGGTTCAAAAACTTCGCAGTTTAAAAACATCGTCATCGAAAATATCGTAGTAAAAAATAAAGTATCTACAAATCATCGCATGACGATAACATCGCAGACATGCTTTTTTCAGACATGCCTTAATAACTGTAAATGGATATTCCCATAATGATTTGTGAGCTCAAGATGTAAAGAAGGATAATTTTTATTCTCACATCTTTTTATTAACTAATAAATTTTTGCTGAAAAAGTAAGATGGAAAATTAAGCATAGAAAATTAAATGCAGCTTATAGATTATACTTTTCATGAAAAATTACCAGTAAAAACTTTATAAAAAATGACTTATTAATGGCCTTTATGTCGGTTTAAAATTCTATTTAGTGCTATAAGTTGCATTAATTTTCTACGCTTAAGTTTCTTTCTTATTTTCTCAGCAAAAATTTATTAGTTAATAAAAAATAGGAAAGTCAAAATCGCCCTTCTTTCCATCTTGCGCTCACAAATCATTATGGGAATATCCACTTACAGTTATTAAAGCATGTCTGCGATGTTATCGTCATGCGATGATTTGTAGATACTTTATTTTTTACCACGATATTTTCGACGACGATGTTTTAGGACTGCGATGTTTTCTCCCACGATGTTTTGTAGCACGACGTTTTCGCCTTGCGTTGTTTTCTCGGCGATGTTTTTTTTTTTTTTTTTTGCCGCGATGTTTTCGGCTGTAACCATATATCACGTGAATAGGCACATATAACTATCAAAAATAAAAAGAAATGATATACATGTTTTAGGAGTCAATTTTCAATCATTAAATGTGCGGTTAAATGATGGAAAGAAGGCCTTGATGAAACACGGATTTATAGTTAAATATAATTAAGTTACCTAAAAACCGACTATTAACAATAGAATTTGTACAATTCCTAATTTAGATAAAAGCTTCTTATAGTCCTTAAAATTCTTTAATGTACTATGTAAAGTCTCAGAAGAGATAATGACTCCAGTTTTATTTATTTACTTTAGATGGCTCAATGAATTGCTTCAAAGGTCATCCACCACCAAGCCAGATTTTGGAAAAGCGTGGAATCAGCGTCACCGAATGCTTAGAACATTGCCGCGGACAAGGCTTTCCCCTGGCCGGTACTATTCCGAATAAGTGCTACTGCCTTTCTCCGGACAACGTAAAAGGGTTGTCTGTAGCTTCTCGTCTGCAGTGCAACGGTGACTGTGCAAACCAACACTGCGGCAATAAAGATTTCATAACCATTTATAATCTTAGTGAGTTCATTTTATCATTAAAATGTAATTTAAAACCTTGAATTTTAAAAACCATCTATAAAAATACAGAATTGATGAATCGCAATAAAAATGTTTTTTATTATTAGAAAAATATTCAGTAAAGAATTTACGGTGATTAAACCTAATTAAAAAAATCCTTGTTACTAAAAAACTAAATTTGTATGCTAAAGGTACTTACTGTGTAGGTGGACAAAAGGTGATAAAATGTTTTCTTCAACTTTTAAATTCAGAGACATCGCATTGTCCAAAAACAGTTGTTTGTTTTTATTTCAAAACTGTAAAAATCAAATAGGGATAAGATTTAATTATTATATTTTGCTAAGCTACCACTGATATGTTTACCATTTAATGCTTATTTAATTTCAAGCAATGCAAAGTTTTTAAAACTAAGGGTTTTTAAAAGATAATGCAAAGTTTTTAAAACTAAACTTTTTAAATGTTTTTGACGGCATTGATTACAAAGTTCATAACTTTAAAATTTTTCATTTTCGGTGAGATTAGTAAAATACAATGAAAGCTAACTTAGTAAAGTTTAATAACTTGTATTAAAACACATGAATTTGAACAAAAGTATTTTCTGATACAAGTTTAATATATTAAATTAAAAGTCTGATTTTATCATTAAAATATTGGTGTTTCTTAACGGCTTTATTCGGAAATCAATCCATTTACATCAGGCCACTCCCCAAAAAACAAGACATTAATTTCAAAATTGACATCATCAAAATATTAAACACAGTTAAACTTTACAACACTAAAATTCAATTCTGTACAATACCAAAAAACTAAGACAATTAACTTTCACAATTAAAATCTTAAAAGTGTTCACTGTGTAGAAACTGTATTACACCAGACGGCGCTGTGCGCGCCTGAATTCGTTTGATGGAACTACTTTTATATGCGCTTTCAGGTCGCCAACTTTCTTGCCAAACATTTTTGGCGAGAAACTCCACGCTGCCATATTACTATCTAAATTTTTCGTCTATATTTCGAACGTTAAACCTAAAATGTCTCCAAAAAAGGCGGTTTTCGCACATACAAAAAATACGTTTTGAACACACAATTTAAGCTAAAAATTCGAAACAAAAATAAAAACTTTAGATAGCAAAAACGTAAAGTTTCTAACCAAAAATATTCGACAAGAATCCATGTACATAGCGATATGTTTTAACTTAAAAAACATCTACGAATTGCGCTAGGCAACGAACGAATCTACGAACTACGCACACTTCGCTTTAATAAATTAACATAGCAACAATAAATTTCAAAGAATACCATGTACACATGTACACAACATCCTGTTTAAACTTAAAAAAAAAAAAAAAAAAAAAAAAAAAAAAAAAAAAAAACCACCATCTACGAATTGCACAAATTTAGGCAACGAATGAATCTACGAACTACGCACATCTCGCTTTAATAAGTTAACATAACAACAATAAATTTCAAGAATACCGTGTACACAGCATTCTGTTTAAACTTTAAAAAACATCTACGAATTGCACAGTCTAGGCATTACGCACTAATCAACAAAATAAACTAAATTAACTAAAGTAAATTAAAAAAACAACAATAACGACAGAAATTCATACTAAAGGAAACAAAGAACATACCATTCTACTAAATAAGAACAAAAATAAAACAAAGTGCACTTACCATAAATAAATGCTTCTTCGAACAGCAGAAATACCAATTTCATACATCACCAAAACTATTTCACCACAAATTTTTTTAAAGCATCTTCTCCCGTTTCAGAACAAAGATGGAAAAATATATAAACCACCAAATAAAACTCTAAATTATTATTTATATGACAGCCAGACTCACTATCCACAAAGTTGATTCTATGTTTCACAAATTAATGTTAAAAAACCTTCTTCTCCTAAATACTTGAATAATTTCCCGCCACCCGAAAAAATAGTACCAAGCACGAGACAAAAACTTTGCCAAGACGTCATAAATCACTTAATTACCCCCCGAACTAACTAGCAAATCCAAGTTTCCACGTAGAAAGGGTTGCTATAGAAACGAATATCGCCCCGAACGCGCAATTGCGCCAAAAACCAGCGCACAACACATATCAACACATTTGGTGAAATTAGGGCGCATATAAGAGTAGAGCCCTTTTGAGTAGTTTAGAACATTGCTGACTGTGAAAGATGTAAAGTACATTAAGTTGCGAAAGTCAAACTAAATTTATATGTGTTTCTTTATTATAAATGTATTTATTCACTTAGTTTTAACCGTAAATTAGGATCCACTTTTAATTTTGTTCTGTGTTTTTCAAATATAACATGGAAAAAAAATCCTTGTTCATGCAAATAGGTTGTGGCAATAAAACTTTAATAGCTTTATTTGAAATGCCTTTAAATTTTTTTTTTCGGTTCTGCCAAAAGTTAAGAAGTGTGTTATTTTTAAAATCTTCAGTTAGAGTTCGATCATATCAGTTTTTCATTTTCTTCAGGAGATTTTTGAATTTAGTTGTTGAAAATATTTTGCGTACAACCTATTTTTGTCTTGTGTACCACCGGTTGAAAATCGTTGTTCTAGAGTTTTGTAGTCGAGGGTTTTGTAGGCTATGGGTATAAAGCTTTTGGCCGTGGAACTCTCAGCATTATTTTCTACAGGACTCTGTAGAAACTTTAACTCTCTAGGACTCTGTAGACTTCTCTAACTCTGTCCGTTAATGTTCCGGTTTCAACCTTTTGCTAGCTGAGTTTAAAATGCACCATTAAAATTCTGAGACAGCATTAAGTAGACTAACCTGTGTAGTCTGCGATTACGATATTTCTAATTTTATATTTTAACTTTGCTGTTTTTAATACCTGCAAGTGGCGGAGTTTGTTTCTACGGACAAGTTGTTACACAATTAATTAATTATGTTACAAGATCTTACACAATTACAACCAGTAACCGTTACTTTCATATCCAAACAAACAGACAAAAAGATGTAGAACTTTGCTGAATTTTGCAAATTCATTCGAGGATGATATATTTGCGATCTTTATCTTGCCTGCACTACCTTTCTATACTCGGCCTATTGATTTCACCATTTCGAGCTTTCTAATTTTCTATCTGGCCTTTTTATTCTAAAAGTACAACTTACTTCTGCCTTACTATGTGCTGCATTTTTAGCACATATTCATTCCTGTTTTCGTTGCATCTTATTGTTACGCACAATATTTTGTCTGACATGAGATGTTAACCTATTTTTCCGTACCTCCGTACCATAGAACTTCCAGACTATTTCAACTATAAAGTAATGGTAACTGATTTTTCAGTTCATACCATTTTGTTCAATGAAGTACTTTATAAGAACCCATCGCTTTCTGGCATCGAAAAAAATCTATTATTGATTTCTAAAACTAACTAAACTTTGCGGTACAAACAGCCCTTGGAGAGCCATGGCCAGCCACCAGTGTCCTGATATATGTTTTCTAGACCGTGGGCTCCTGTGTGCTTGTGCATTTTTGCCTGGACAAATGGTCAGGTTGCCGCGGGGATAGGAGGCTAAGTCAGCTTTGCTCAGCCTAGGGATCGAACTCCGGACTTCTAGTGCTGTTGCGCGACGCGCTACCCACTGCGCCACCGGGCCTCTGTAATTGTTTTCTACCAGCAAGAAAGTTCAATAGCAATAAACATCTTAATTCAAAAGATTCTATATCCAAAAAAGAAAGTATTTTAATTGCTCCAAGAAAATTATTTTTGTATAAAAATATTAAAATATTATTATTATTTAAGGCAGCTTTAAACATATTGAGCGAAAAGTATCGACATGTATTTTTGATAAAGGTAAAAGATCTGCAATCTATGCATACATTTAGATCTTCTTTTCAGTTTAAGAACCTCTACAGAACCTCTTTTTTAGGATTTTTTAAAACCATTTCAGATCCTTATTTTTTATTTGCTCTGCGCACACGCGTACTAAGTTAACAAAATCTTATACAGGAACTAAAAGCATTCTCATTTTAAAATACCTACTTCTACTAGTATTGTATGTGCATTTTATTGCTGTTTTCGGTTCACTAAATATAAACTGAATTGCCGGCTTCCGCTCTATTCACATTTCTATCCTGCAGAGATAGGTTATGAGAAGACATTCAGAAGGGAAAATGATAAAAGAAAGAGAAAGCAATAACCAGTAATTCAAGCCGTGTTCGTGGGAAACTGCATTCAGTTAACTTTAATAAACAATTCCTTTTTAACAGGCGTGATTATCGTGCTTTATTATGCATAACAATGTTTACTTTTTTCCCTTTCAGCCTACTACAAAGACACGGCGGAGTCGTGTGAAGACCTGTATCAGTTGGGTTTTTCTAGTCCAAGTACTTATGTGACCAGAAATGGCGAAGAAGAAAAGCTACAAAACTGTTTTACAGAGGGTGAATATAATATTTTAGACTTACATACTAAGCATTTATAATCACATAGTTTCTGAGATATCACATAAAAAATTATTCAATTAGCCAAATTAATGTTTTGGGATTTTAGAACAGAAGACTAAAATTATTAATATTATATATATATACTCTAAATCATTCAATCAAATGTAGAGAAAAGTTAACTTGATAGTTCTCTATTGTGCAGCTGAATTCTTAAATGTGTTTGAAACTTTTGCATAACAGGAGAATCGGTAATTAACATTTAAACAAATTTTCCACAAATAAAAAGTTAAGTTGATCTCCATTTTACGAAAAGATATTACAGAACTAGAAATTCATTTTTACAATTTATATAGAAAGTATTGTAATTTAAAAAATAATATTATATTACAATAACGAAATAAATGACATTTTCGCTTGATCGTAATGTTCTTCAAGTGTTTCTAATTTTAACTCATAACGCATTTCATACATAAACGTATTAAACTGAATTATAAACCAACTATAATTAATCAGGTAATCCGAGAAAAAGAATAAAGAATAAACTAAACCTAGTAAGCAAAATATATACGTTACAATCTGAATTCTAAATGTTTACATTTTTTTTTTTTTTTTTAGTCCAAAGGGATTTGAATCCCGAAGGACTAGTAGTTTCGTTTTGGCATTTTGCGTCGGACTCATAAATGTCGGTTCACTTTTCAAACTGTTGCCAGAAAATGTTAGAGTCCTGCATTATATTTGAAGAAATTAAATAATGAAAAATCTGCATAAATGTATGTATATTTCTCGTATTGTGATAAAACAACGGTACATAGAGTCATCGAATTTTGAATAACGTAATCCTCCAACGAATATGAGCATGTGGAAGACCAAATTTGAAATTTGAAATTTGTTTATGATTGATTTCCTATTTTTTAAAACTTTGACGAATTTTTGATTAACAAACTCAGGGATTTCAAAGCGAGCAATGGCAACGTTGTGCAGAAAAAACATTTTATCTCCAGCGCGTGAGTCTCTGTATCGGAAATTCTAAAGATATGCTCGTTTTAAAACTATTTTGCGATATTGCTGTTGCACTGGATCTTATGGTTTAAGTGGCGAGGAACATGAGATATTAATAAAGAAAGGTAACACACACAAAATGTTAAAAAACGCCCCTTTGGACGTAATTTAAAATCTGAAACATTTCAGACTTTTTTTTTTTTTTTTTTTTTTTTTTTGCAAGGCCTGCCGGAAAAAAGATATTAGATGATTGTAAACGCACGGTCGTCTGATCACACGATCATTTTATTAACAATAAGCGCTCAGTTTTATTTTTAACCTAACATACATTTGGATATCGATGATTATAATTAGGAGATATGTACGTTTCTGTTACACTGAACTTGGATAAAATTCCAGAAATAATTTCAGAACAACAGAATTATTAATTCAAAATATGAGAAAAGTGTAGAAACTAACGTATTTTTATGTATGCCGGAAGAAAAACTTTAAAAAATAAATAAATCTAAGAAGATACATAGACATATGATGATATAAGTTATGTATCAATTACATTGTAGAGACATTAGCATTTTTTTTTTTTTTTTTTTTTTTTTTTTGGAGGCCGGAGAGATGAAAAAGGAGCAATCGCCTTCGCCGGGAATCGAACCACAGACCTCTGGAATACCGGCCGAGCGTGCAGAACCATTACACCTCGAAGGCACGCTAGGAAGGTAGGAGAAATACCTTATGTAACCCCCTTTTAAAAAGCGACTGGGGTTTTTAGGGGACCCAATCGCCAAATCCTGGGTGAGGAGAATCATCCTCCAACACCCTTTTAGTTCGGGTGCCACTGTAGAGACATTACGTTATTTCGAAGCAGAAGAGATGAAAAATGAGTGATCGCCTTCGCCGGGAATCGAGCCACGGACCTCTGGTTCGATTCTCGGCGAAGGCGTTTGCTATTTTTCATCTCTCCGGCTTTTCCAATTAACCCAATGTCTCTACAGTGGCACCCGAACTAGTTTCTCCCCACCCAGGATTTGGCGATTGGGTCCCCTAAAAACCCAGTCGCCCTTTAAAAGGGGGAGTATATAAGGTATTTCTCCCACCTTCTTGGCGTGCCTTCGTGGTGTAGTGGTTCTACATACTGGGCCGGTATTCCAGAGATCCGTGGTTCGATTCCCGGCGAAGGCGTTTGGGTAATTTTTCATCTTGCGGGCTTCCAAAAATTACCTAATATCTCTACAGTGGCGCCCGAACTAAAAGGGTGTTGGATGAGAATTTTCCACACCCAGGATTTGGCGATTGGGTCCCCTAAACCCCCAGTCGCTGTATAAAAAGGAAAGTATATAAGGTATATCTCCCACTTTCCTAGGGTGCCTTCGTGGTGTAGTGGTTCTGCACGCTTGCCCGGTATTCCAGAGGTCCGTGGTTCGATTCCCGGCGAAGGAGTTTGCTATTGTTCCTCTCTCCGGCTTTTCCAATTAACCTAATGTCTTTACAAACTTATAACATTTGTTCAATATAAACATGAATAAATTGCATTTTCTTTTATCTTATAAACAAATGGCGCTCTGAAGCAACACTGTTGCATTTGTAAAACTAAATCAAATTTTTGGTAACTATTCCATTTTCACAAATTGAGCTTACTCAGATTACTATGTATCTATTTTTTGAGATATCATATTTTGCTATATATATTGCAGATATTTTCGTATGATGTAATATATAGAGTGAATTAAATTTAGTAACAAGAAAAAGAAGCAATTTTAACAATTATTATTTATTTAAGAAACTGACTTTACATTTCACAAAGCAGTAATAACTGCGTTTTGACAAAGGTTTTTTTTTTTTTATAGAACATTAAAATTACAACTGTATATCTTAAAGCTATAAAGAAAATTTATTTTGTAATGATACTAATAACTAAGTTTCCCCATAAATGAACATTTAGTAAATATAGTAAAAAATTATATAATATTGCAGTATATTATTTTACTGTGAAAGGATAATAACATTTGCATTTACCATGTAAAATGTTACTATTGACAACTCAACAAGTTAATAAAATTTACATTTATTATATAAAATGTTATTATTTACAACATCATAACAGCTCAATAACTTGTTTTCATTTTTCTGTACTATGTATATTTGCTGTTTAAGCTATTAGTATTGTATGCACTAATTGTTTTATTCGAGTTACAGACTGGCTGTGAATAGTAATACAATATCTTTCACATTTTAGTGACTCAAAATAAGGTATGAGTATTAAATTTCATTCTATTAATAAACTTCCAGGGCAAGCAGAACTCTCTTGAGTCAGAAAAATGTTTTCCTATATTTATTTATTTTATAAATACAAAATTATTTTGTATCTAAGCTTTTTTTAAAAAAATTTCTAGGCTTTATGTATTAAATGGGAGTTATGCTATTAAATGAGACTTTCCTTGTCGTTAAAAATAATAATGAGTCATATAAATTATTGTTGGCATCACGACAGTTTTTTATTTATATCAATTTGTTCATTCATTAACATGTCACATGCTCGTGAAGAAAACACGGGTATACTTCCTTAACTTTTAAGATTTAAGAAACAGCACTTGATGAATCCTGAGTCGCTTGAATTTCTGAAGTCAAACAGAAGAATGGAATTCAATGGAATCTTGATGGGAGAATGGTTCAATGGAAGAATGGAAATCATGGAACAAAATTAGTACGATGTAAGTAACATTTCTTTGCATTTAATTTTTGTTATGTATAATACCCAAGCACTAACTGTCACAAAAAAAGTGACACCTAGATGCCGAATTTATTGCCAGTAACTTTAATTTTCGCGTCCCTTTACCGCATGATAGTCAGCTCAATAGTAATCTACATTTCGAAGCGTGAGGTTTGCTTTGACGATATCTGGCGACACTGAGACAATACTCGCGATAGGTTTCCCCTTCTTATATTAAAATAACTTCTATTTCTTTAATAACTGTCTTTATAATATTGGCCAAATGAATATCTTGCCAAATGTCTTTGATTTTTTACCTCTAGCTAGAATATTAGTTTCTGAATTTATTACAATTGATTTTATAAAATTTTTGTTCCGTCTTGATGTTACGTTCTCTGTCCTTTAATTTAATGGTCAATATTTAATTAATTCACCGTTAGATTTATAATGATTTCGTTATATATAAATTATATGAATATATGTCATGAGTTTAAATTGAAATGCTAATATTATTTAATATAAGGCAAAATAGAACTTATTTTGGCTTAAATTTTGAGAAAATTTCTATCGACTAGGACAACTTAAGAAAGATCTCTCTACTTCAGGAGCCAAACCGAATTCAGCACAATGTATACCATAGATCATTTCTTTACCTCTGATATACAATCACTGGGAGTTTTTACCAGTACTTTTAAAATTGTACCATGACCATTTGCTTAGTTTAAAAATCATGGATGTAACATTGTACATCATCACCCGAAGGTGAGAATAAGGTAATTGAACAATCATAAGCTTCAGAATCAGTGAGAAATTTAGGAATTTTATATGGTATAAAGGAGCAAGCGCGGTGATATTTGCAGTCCGGGAGACTATGAGAGGAATGCAAGACAGTATTTGGAGTGACAAAGCAGTGAAATGAAGGCACGTGATTAATTTTAGAGTTCTGATTGGTCGCTTGACCGAGTTAAAGATAAGTAAAATAATCTTGTGTAATAAGTTTAAATTATATAAAATGCGAAAATGAAATCTCGCTGTCTTTGGTAAAAGACAAAAAAGTCCATGATCATTGTTTGAAATTAATATATATTTGTAAAAACATGAGATTGCCTGATAACTCATCTCTTTAATTACATTAACACAAACCAGAGTGTTAAATTACTAAAATTAAATCCTGGCAGCGGTGGGATTCGAACCCACGCCTCAATGAGACTGGTGCCTAAAACCAGCGCCTTAGACCACTCGGCCACGCTACCGCTGCTGAAAAGACAACAACCTTATCTATACTGAAAACAAAACGAGAGCAAAGGGAATGTAGCACTATCTATTGAAGAAAAGAGTAATTAAATGAAAGCAATTTAAGGTATTAGAATTCGATGCGTGTTAGGAATGTCTGGATTGGAAATAGTGTCATTAATGAACGAAGATAAAATTCTATGAATGAGAAAATTTCAGGGAATTCCATTTCAACTTTGAAGATAATTTTCTCAGAACTGAAGTCAACATTTTGATAAAACTGTGATTAGGTTTTTAGCTATGAGTAGCTGTCGAAGATTTATTTATTTCTGTTCCTTGACGTGAAATTTTAACGCTGTTTTAGTTTGGCCAATCCATCTCAAACCACACAGACAAGATACGCTATAAATTCCCTAAGAATTAAAAGTTTCATTTTGTCTGCTAACAAGATATTCTAAGGTAACTTTTAAATATTAAAAATCAATATTAACGCACATAACACTCTTTCATCACACTCAATCTTGTTTCCTGGCTCGTAAATTACTTCAAAATTTATGTGTCATTACGAATTTATAGATTGATTTAAAGCAATTAATAAGAATCTTAGAAATTTGTTTTAAACCTTTGAAGACATCTTCAAATCTGTTCTGCTATGCTTTAATTATGGCACTGCATAAGAATTATACATTTGAACTGCCTTCCATTTTTCATGATTTATTCAAAATATCTTCTTACAAATACCTCAGTCGTAATTATTAATTTTACTTGAAACTCCCATGATTAAATTTAATTATAAAAATTTTGAGCATTATATTAAATACAATTAGAAATGAGTGAATGAAATTTAACTCTATTCCTAATGCATCATCTATTCCAATCGTTTTTTTAATTTAAGTGATTAGAACTATTGCTTATGTTTCAAACGGGGCAATGAGTTTGGCAACTTTTGGGGTGTTGTACTGCTGTTAAATATTTATATTAATTACTGTTGTAATCAATTCTAAGTTGATGCTAGTTAACTAGCCCTGCAGAGTATTCTATAAGCATTATCTTTTGGAAGTGTCATGATCTTAAGAAAATGTATCATAAGAGCTTTGTTAGAACTTTATTCTAAATGATATGGGTTTTACTTCCTTGTACGAAGTAAAAGAAGTGTTGAAATCTCGAAAAATGTCTAGTAGCCTATTAAACAAAATATTCATTTTTACCTCTCTCGAATCCCTTTGAACGATGTATTTGAGTAACACTTGTAGGTACGGACAGAATCCTTTTATCCAAAACGGATTCTAAAATGGATTTAAAGTGGATTCAAAAGAAATTTTTTGCCTGGCGTCTGTACGTATGCATCTCTCATAACTCACAAACAAGTGGCAGTAGATCGTTGAAAATTTGTATACGGAACTGGTATAACATCTAGTTGTGCCCCTCCCGTTTCCGTTTCAGTCGACCGCACCAAACGTATGTAAATATATAGTATATTCCCACTCTGTTACCCGGTTCGGTTAGAGAAGGTTTTTATTCTTATAGGTTGGTAAATTGGCATTTTTTGCTTTAATCATGTTGTTCTTATGTTCCGATTAAGGTTTTTACACTTCAATTAATCTTCATGCAATAATCGTAGAATAGTGAATTGAGTAAGTTGGGGAATAAATTTCAGTGCCTTTTTACCCAGTGGGACCAATAGTTAACTTTCAATATTGTGCACCTAAAATTTTGTCTTCCTGCCCGCTGGTCGAATTGCTTGTTTTTCGGTAGAAACTTTAATTTTAATTGTAAAATTTTTCTAACTGTTTTCAACAGTATTTTAATTAGTTTTACGTTTTTCTGTATTTTAAATGTTTTAATCAGGATGTTTTGAGTTTTTATGTATTTCTACCTGGCCGCGAAGTGGGACCTGAATGGATTGAATGAGAAATACATCTCTAACGAAATTCAAGGGAATAAATTTAAGTCCAGGAAAAATTTGTGTAAATTAATAATCTATAAAAGGATGTTATGTGGTGTCCACAATAGATTTTCTGTATTATGCTTGCAGCGGCCGAGCGGTAAAGTTGCTGAACACTGGTAGTTCGGTCCGAGGTTTGAATCCCGCGAACGGGCTGGCTGCATGGGTGTTTTCGTGGTTTTCCCCATGTGTAACGTGTATACGAGCCAGTTTCTCTTAGAAAGTCCTCCACGAAGGTATCCCTTCCCTTAGGTAGATAGCCCTCGAGGCTTTGCCGTAATTAAATAACCTAACCTAACCTTTATTATGTGTACACTTTAGCAGGCTGCAAAATTTCATGAACGTTCGTGTCAGGTGTTGAGCCCAGATAATCTACCTATTGCTTTTATGTTACTTTCTGCTGCTAGTAGAAGGAACTAAAAAATAAATATTGCTTAAATGGCAAATACATGTATTTTTCTTAAATTTATACTACATCTTTAATTCACTTTTTTTTATCTGCATTCCAAGTAGATAAAAACATTTATCGCAGTTTAAGACGTCGCAGACGGAATCTTAGCAAGTAGCTCCGGTTATTTCCCATTGAAAAGAACTCAACATTTTACTCATTAACTAGAAATTTTCCGTCATTTCAATGATTTGTATCTTTAACTTTGATTTCCTTATAAGGCTTAATATTAAGCAAAAATTTTATACCAAGTTTAAAAATATTTATCTTAGTTTAGACATTTAAGAGCCTAAAACGATAGACATAGAATATAAATGAGTGAATAAATCTACATGAGTTTTTTTTTTTCAAAGCTAGCAATGATGTTTCAAAGTTTTCAGTCCTAAGTCACCAGTTTAATGAATCACCAGTTTAAATTTAATAAATTCATACAGGTGCAACTAAAATCATTTTTACTTACATAGATCAGCAGAAGAAAATATTTTAGAAGGTGTTAATGTAACTACTCGTATTTGAAAGCAAAACATTTGAAAAACTGCCTGTGGATTGAAGATTAAAATTCACTTAAAGTAGTTTATTTTTTTAAAAGCAGTGCATATTAATAATTTATCATATATTTTTGGATGAGTTTCATGTTTTTTATTCGCGTGTTTTTTCTGATTCTTCTCCAAATGCAACCCTGACCAGCCATCACTTATTTGTTACGTTTTAAGGAAATCTCAAATTTATCATTTAGTTATTGTTCTTGTATTTTAAATACATTTCACTGCTAGTAATATATTGTATTTATAATTTTTTATTCTTTTTCAGATATATCAAACGTAAATTATCTTCTCCTTAGAGCGTATCTCAGAAGAGTCCTTAGATGCTACTTAAGATTCTAAATGAAAAAATCATATCAGATAATTTTGTATTTTAGTAAGGCTTAAATTCTGTGAGCTGTAACGTTTACTTTTGAAATATTTTAATACATGATCTGAAATTAAACTTTTTATCTAATCTGAAATAATTTGAAAAATTTAACTAAGCGAAATTGTTTTTGGTTTAAATTTATAACGCTCGTATTCAACTTTCGAAATTCTTCAAAAACTGCATGAAACATTTTTTCTCAAGCTAGCATGTAGAATTTAAACAATCTATAATAATTACAAGAACTGTGTGTATTTGTAAGTTTTAAGTTTATATAAATATATATAGATATAAATAAAAATGCTTGTTTATTAGTTTGTTTGTCTTTTATATAATTCTACAGTTTAATTTCGATCTTTATGAAACTTGCAACACTCGACCTTTAAAACAAGACGAAGGTCAATGCCTACATAAGACTTCTCAAAAACCAGCCTATAGTGTCCGCACTCTTTACATACGCATATTTTACGCTAATTTAATGAACTTTTGATTAAAAAACCGGCGATTTAAAAGTTTTGCATTCAGCTTCGCAAAGTGTAAGATATATATGTTTCAAATTCAAAGAGAAAATTCGGCGATATAAAAAAAAATCGTTGCCACTCGAGAAAAAGAAAAAATGTTATCTTGTCTTGAATTTAATAAACAAATTCGGTTATTTAAGAAAACGTGTTGTCACTACCCGAATTAAAATATGTGTGCTATCGTTCGTCTGAGTGTATAATATTTAATTTTTCACTTATTAATATGCGTGTTATTGTATTACGCGCATTTTCTTTGCTTCTGAAAGTGAATTTATCATAGTCGTCACAAAACATTACTTTCGTTGTGAAATCAATTATGCCATCAAAATGAAAATAGATCACTCGATCTACACCTTAAGCACGAAAGAAAAGGGCATCAAATTCTGAAACAAACGAGCAACGAGAGGCGAAAGCCCGTTCGTATGAAACAAGTTTGGGGACTAAATTTGGAAAATCAATGCTTTTCACCTGGGAAGCTGTATGTGGCCTGCTCACGCGTCAGAAAACCTTCCGATTTATTCGTGTATGTATCAGACGGAAAAACAAAAAATATTGTTTATCCAAAAGCATTAATAAAGAGAAATAAAACGTAAATCACTTCCTTTCCTTCAAGTAACATTGCTATGCATGCCGGGTAACAGCTAATTCAGTATAAAAATATTTATACTATGTTATGCATTAAAGAGAAAGTTCTAAATAAAGCAAAAAATAAAAAACGGAGCAATGAGAGAATTCAGAGTTCAAATTTCTTTGGGCAAAAAAGAAGCAAATATTTAAATAAGCCAAAATAATTTTTAAAAAAAATGAAAGCTTTCATATTTTAGATTACGCCCAAAGGAACGTTTTCTTTAACGTTTTGTGAGTTACCTTTAGATATTAAATTTCATGTTCTTAGTACTTAAACCATAAAATTCAGTTTAAGAGCAATATCGCAAAATAATTTTAAAATAGACATATCTTTAGAATTTTCCAATACAGTTCTCTCGCGCTGGAGATAAAAAGATTTTTTTTTTTCATACAGTGTTGCCATTCCAGATAAAAATGCTTTTTCTGCCCAATGTTGCCACTGCTTACTTTGAAATCTTTGAGTTTGTTAATCAAAATTCGTTAACGATTCACAAAATATGAAATCAAAAATAAAGCAAATTCCAAATTTCAAATTTGCGTTTCCAAATGCCCATATTTGTAGGAGGATTAGGTTATTTAAAATTTGATGCCTTTAGCTGTCGTTGTTTTATCACAGTGGGGAAAGAATAACATACATTAATGCAGATTCTTCATTGTTTAATTTCTTTGAATATAATACAGGGCGATAATATTTAGCGACAACAATTTGAAAAGTGAAACAACGCTTGTAGTGAATCGACGCAAAATGCTAAAACGAAATTTATAGTCCTTCTGGGCAAATTTCCCCTTTGGACTTAAAAAAATGTAATCTTTATTTTTTTTAATCAAAAATATTAAGAAATGGACCTGTTGCTACTAAAACGCAAGAGAAATATAATATGATATTACGATATTATGTTTACATTCTCACTCACATTTTAGATGGAGAAATGTAAAGATGTAGTTTCCAGCAACCAAAAATAATTTTAAGTAGTTTTGAAGTTTGCCGTTTACAGTTTTACCAGTATCTGCTATTCAATTATCGTTTTTACTTCTGCATATTTTTATTCTTCAATTAAGAAGTCATAACTTCGTTATTACGGGAATAGGACCCATTTTGAGGTTAGATTGTCATGTTAAGATCATGTTTCTGTTATTATTTATTACTAAGGATCCAACTGAGCCTTCCGGGCATTTTTAATTGGCTATGAAATTGTTCAGACCTAAAATTAATATTACTGTTATCATCTACAGCAAATACGTTCGCAAAATCTTTAGTTGTGTAATATCATTACTACTTCAGACTTTTATTATCTCTTTTCGGGAAGAATGTTGCATTGAAAATTCTTTTGTATCACTTCAAAAGAGAATTCCATCACGTTTTCTATTCCTAATACCTGAGTTCCGCAATAATCATCTAACTGATCGTCACGTAAACCGATAGGCTTTAAATCTAGTTCCAAATGACACCTCTTGATTCAAGAAATTATAGTAGAACAATACGTTTCAAACAGCTTTGTCTTAACAATGACTTTTCCTATCCAGATCTTTTGTAGAACTCCGATCGGACTGTAACACCAAGTTTTCAACCAAGTTTTGTTACATTTAAGAACTCAAACGTATTATTACTGAAAAAAAGGAACTGCCAATTTTTTTTTTTACAAAATACGATTCCGTTGGCTTACGCACGGAAGTGACCCATTGTTTAAAATTTACGCGTGTGCGATCATAGATTTTTTTTCTCTGAAAATTAATTTGGCAGCTATTCTATTCAGTATATCGATTTAAATTTTAAAATTCTGAGGAATAAACAATTTGAAATTTTAAAGTTTGAAGAATTGAATAATATTTATTAAACGCAAAAATGTAATTTAATTCTGAAGTAACCTATAGTTTATTCCCCTAACTTTTGTTTCACATTATTAAACAAACGAATAAATTTATACATTTGATTCCAAAGCTAGAGTAAGCAATTTGTACACACTTGCATTTAAAAGCTCTATTAATCAAAAAAGATTTCTTTTTTAATAAAAAAAATTCTTCAACATAAATGTGCTTTAAATTCTTCAACAAAAAAGTTTAGTTCTATATACAGATTAGATATAACTAGGGCAACTTGCCCAGAAGGGATATTAATTTCGTTTTGCTATTTTGCGTTGATTCACGATAAACGGCGAATCACTTTTTAAATTGTTGTCACCAAATATTAGAGCCCTGTATTATATTTAAAGAAATTAAATAATGAAGAATTGCATAAATGTATGTATGTTTCTTGCATTGTGATAAAACAAAGGTACCTAGAGCCATCGAATTTTGAATAACGTACGTCTTCACCCGAATAAAGGCATCTGAAAGCCCAAATTTGGAATTAGTTTTATTATTTGTCTCTATTTTGTAAAGTATTTATGAGTTTTTAATTAACAAACTCAACGATTTCAAAGCGAGCAATGGCAACACTGTACGAAAAAAGAAACTGTTTCATATTTAGCGCGCGAGTCTGTATCGGAAATTCTAATGATATGCTCTTTTAAATATTTTGTGATATTGCTGTTGAACTTAATTTTATGGTTTAAGTGGGAAGAACATGATATTTAATAAATAAAGCTAACACACAAAACGTTAAAAAAAGCTCCTTTGTGTGTAATATAAAATCTGAAAGTTTTCAGATTTTTTTTTCTTTTCCTTTTTCTTTCTTTCATTTTTATACTACGAGTAGTAAAGCCAGATCAATTAAGTACTTTGAATAGGTAGGGAATAACCTTTCCATAGTAATTGAGTTTCACCCAAAGGACAGGAATTAAAAAAAAAAAAATTAAAAAAAAAAAAAAAAAAAGAATAAAAACCAAATCTCAGATTTTAAATTACGTCCAAAGGGGCGTTTTTTAACATTTTGTGTGTTACCTTTCTTTATTAAATATCATGTTCCTCGCATTTAAACCATAAGATCCAGTGCAACAGCAATATCGCAAAATAGTTTTAAAACGAGCATATCTTTAGAATTTCCGATACAGAGACTCACGCGCTGGAGATAAAAATGTTTTTTCTGCACAACGTTGCCATTGTTCGCTTTGAAATCCTTGAGTTTGTTAATCAAAAATTCGTCAAAGTTTTAAAAAATAGGAAATCGATCAAAAAACAAATTTCAAATTTCAAATTTGGTCTTCCACATGCTCATATTCGTTGGAGGATTATGTTATTCAAAATTCAATGACTCTATGTACCGTTGTTTTATCACAATACGAGAAATATACATACATTTATGCAGATTTTTCATTATTTAATTTCTTCAAATATAATGCAGGACTCTAACATTTTCTGGCAACAGTTTGAAAAGTGAACCGACATTTATGAGTCCGACGCAAAATGCCAAAACGAAACTAATAGTCCTTCGGGATTCAAATCCCTTTGGACTAAAAAAAAAAAAAAAAAAAAAAAAAAAAAAAAAAACCTTCCATGCATATATTACTTATAATAGAAAAAAGTTTACTTTATAAGTATTATTTACTAGAACCATAACATGAAAATTGTCGGGAGAGGTTACGTTTTTATTTGCTTATTCAGACATTCGTTCCTAACGCTAGGAAATAACCTATATATTAACAGCGAAATTTCAGTGAAATTAAAGCCGTAATATTAAAGAATGAAGGAATATTAAAAAAATTGAAATTTTATCTCTGTATCCAGATTTCTATTTTAACACCTAAATCAGCTTTAAGCCAAATAGTTAGGATATTTTAAGAGTCAATTTGTAGACAGTACAAGGCACAGGACATAAAATCACATTATTGAAACGAGCGTTTCAAAATAGAAATACCAAAGAATAAAGAAATAAATGTGCTATCATATTATTCTGTAAGAATTTAAAGCCATTTGGTGACATTTCTTTTTTAATAAAGAAAGACTTAATTATTCAAAAAATAGCTGTGAAATATTTTTTCTATACATTGGTTATGCATGAAATTCGCAACAAATAGTTCACTCAAGTACAGAGCTAACAATTGTTTTAATGGGTGTTAGCCTAGAAGGACTATTAATCTCGAAATGGCATTTTGCGTCGAATTACCTTAAATGTGAGTTTCATTTTTCAAATTGTTGCGCCAAATATTAGCGCCCTTTATTGCATTTAAAGAAACTAAGCAATGAAGAAACTACATGACTCTATTTATGTTTCTCGCATAGTGAAATAA